AATTCGAAACGTACGCCTATTCGAACCAGAGAGAAAAACGGTTGAAATTTACGAGAACTGATTCGTATAGGTTGAGGTGGTTTCCGACAATATCGCCGTAAACGTCAGGAGTTTCCATTGAACCAACTGTGCTTTGAAATCTGACGGCAGCAAAAGCCGGCTGGTGTTCGTCGTTCTAAATCAGTATGGATTCAGGTAAGTGTTTGCGATTCGTAATTAACGCCATGAGTATTATGCTTATCCACATGTCAGTCACAGCGGGAGTTCCAGTCTGAACAATACCTCAGAGGATTATACGTCTGTTGACATTGGTACGGGCTCCACAGAGTTCTTGCACTGCAGATGCCCACTGATAGGCTATACATTCCCCCAAAATCTATCGATTTCCACCATTACCCATACCTGGATGAATGTGCTTAGATAACTTTGTCGGTTGTGCCTAAATCGGAATATTTGTTGAAATATGTCTCTCAAGCAATTATGTTTTAATTTTCCGTATCCTAATCCTATCCCCCACTAAAATAACTGGAATTAATAAGTTTCCGTCAACCTTAGGTTCTACTTGAAAACAAGCTGCACAGAATTAGCGAAATACGTTCATTTGTAAACAAATTTGGCCTTGCAGAGGCCGTCCTTTCCGACACTTGTGTATTGACGTTGTCTGTGTGTGAATGTGCGCTGCTGACCTACTTACCCATGTGCTGAGCCTGCCTTGACTTGTTTTCTCATGGGTTCCGTGTGATCGCACGTCCAATGAGAATCACGAGACCGTCGTCGGAAGGGACGACTGCAACCCACGCCAGTGAGCCATCATTTCGCTCGCCATTGTTTGGTGAGGGAACGTTGACACTGCACTGTGCCGGTCAGTGACAGACCTGTGAACCCCTTGACACTACGAACGCGAACAATTGAGTACCGTAGAATTACAAACCCAAATCATCCTTTTGATATTCGACATTGTCGAACCTACGCATCACTCAAAGTTCCGTATCGGGAACCTCAACACTGGGAAAGCCAACTTTGTTTGCAAATGAGTGTTTTTCGCTAATAAGAGTTTAGTTGCAGTTAGAAAATTGATGACTATGTTGTGCACAAAGCAATTCACGCCGTCCATTAAATATGCGGCTCTCATTTAAAATGCTACTTCACTGCAAATACGATAACAAACTTTCCAATACTTCTGGTGTTGAGGACGACGGATATTTGGGAAATAGTGTCTGGGCAAATAAAAAACCACCTACAGTTGTTTGAAGCGTATGAATTGGTAGGTGAAAAGCTAGGTGTTTACGATCGTGTTTTACAATCATGGGCTGTCAAAGAATTCTCAGCAACTTTATGACTATTGCATCACGTGTATACACGTATTGCGATATCTCGAATATCGTAGCGACTGAAACATGAGACGGCCTGGTGCAGCACATTCAGCTGTCTGGGAACATCACAAACGAGAGATTCAGCTGTGTTCCAGATGAGTCCCTCGCAAAACCAAATTTGTTCGCAAATGAGTATATTCCCCTAACAACTACAGTTGTTTGGAACGCATGGATTTGTAGCTATGTGAATAGCTATGTGGAACCGCCCATGTTGACCGCTAGCCGTATACACAGCATCTCGATCGGAGATAGGGCGACTAGGCGCAATCTGGTCAAAGTGAAGCTGGCTCAAAGACATCATAAAGATGTTTGATTGTTGTGTACTGCAGACAGCAATGCAATTAGCGTGTCGACCCTTGGATTCCTGCCACGCCCCTCATGCTAAATCAAAAGCCCGAGACGGCTTTTATAGAGATTGGGGAAAATTATTACGACCGCATTTGTATGGTTATCAAGGAGCTTTTCACAAAGCACGCGCCGAGCTAAAATGCTCGATTATGATTGGCTTATTTTTAACCACTTAGTGCTTTTCTTCGTATGCTCCTTAGGCAGCTTGCGACATCCGTTCGACCGACGTTGTGTTCGGTTATTCACAATGCATCACCTCCGGACAATGACCTTTTGAGAACGATCGGTCCAAAGCCCCATACGGCAATGAGGGTCTTGTGTACACAAGAATGTTGTTTTCTAACTCTCACCATTTGTATTGCACCGGTTATATATGTCTTCACTTGTTCATTGTCTCTATGAAAGTGACACCCATGTGTGAAACCCTTTTTCAACGAAACCGTCCGTTCCAGTAACTGAGTAAGAGATGTATTATCAGCACACCTATTTGAACCGTCCTCCCACTGTACTAGTGCCATTGTTCTCCGTAGTCATACACAAATGAAAGCACTGGACTCGAGTTTCGGTCTTATTTGTCTCCAGCAATGCTGAATATTCATGAGTTGAACATCCCCATCTCACCAGTGCGTGCTAGGTAAACCTGGGAGTTTAACCGAACCTTGAACTATAACTTTCGTTATTCACTCTAATCAGCTGCGTGTGTGTTGATCGATGAATTCAGACTAATTTGAGTGGGACGTTGTCAGAATCGAATTCTACCAGTTGAATTGCACTAGCTAGAAGTACTAAGGAACAGGAAACATCTGCATTACGCAGTTTATTAGGAAGTCATTTTGTTTGCATTCCTGAAACAGGGAGACAAGCCGCAAGGCCAGCAAATGGCGTCTACTCATCATTGGGATCTGAACCTACTTCCAGGTGAGTCTCGCAAAACCAAACTTGTTTGCAAATGGGTGCATTTCGCCCCTTCAATCTAGTTCATCGATTTCCCCGCTCTCTTTGTGTGCACAAAAGCTATTTCTCCGCGTCGATGACATCTTTTCGACTGATCGTCTTGTAGCTAAGAACAATTATTCGAAAAATGGTTTCCATTTTGGTCAGTTTTCGATTGAGATGACGCTTTTGGCCATTTCAACAGCCGTCCTGGCTTCGGTCCAAATATATTCACCTGTTCCATACTACTACTCCGTTATCAGTAGCCAAATGTAATTCTCGATTGAGATGACGCTTTTGGCCATTTCAACAGCCGTCCTGGCTTCGGTCCGAATACATGCACCCGTTCCATACTACTGCTCCGTTATCAGTAGCCAAATATAAGTCATAACGACCAGGTACCGTTGAAGGCTGCTCCAGTGGATTTTCATCGCGGGATAGCTTTTCCTCACTGAAGTTGAGTTGAACAAACGTTCACCTGATATCTCTTCAGCAAGCTTAACAATTTTCTTGCAACCGTCTGGTCACCAACCTAGGGGACGTCGTCAATGCACAAATTTATTCGTTTTATCCTACCTTGAGCAGTTCACTATTCGGTGTACGGTTTATGGAAAACATACCGTATGTTCTGTATCGTTTTATAGCGTTTTTGTGTCGACGAATTGTACCACAGATTTGTTCCATGTTAATTTTCTTTTGAATTCAGGCGCAATTAACTTCAACTTTCCCATAATTTAAATGAAAACTGCTGTGCACTCTTTAGGATGCAGCTCCCGAAAGAGCAAATTTCTTTAGTGGTTTTTCGTTAGATGAATACTTTCATTGGAAATTGGGTTTGGTCTACCGAAGATGCTGTCTCTCCATGTATGAAGATCTCTCTGGTCCCATTTTTTTGAAATTGTAATTATCTTATTCGTACACACTAGATAAGATGGATGTTTCGGCCAATAGCCTCGCAAGGAATGAGTTTGTGATTAATTTGCTGGACGAATTGTAACCACTAACAACAAATTCTCCGTCATGTAGTTCAGATAGTGGGAAAAATTACGTTGTCATCGATTGGAAGTGCTTCAACAGTCACTCTGGCTTTTTAGATCAGAACTTTGCGGAACTGGATCACATAATCTCAGTGTGTCAGCGTCCTATTCGCATAACCTACGAGGGTAAGCCGAGCACCAGCCTCCGTCTAAACTAGGTGATTCATTGTTGTAAGTCACTTCAGGAGAAGTCGGGTTCATGCTTCCGTTGTTCCACAAACGATTTCTAACCTTACTTACACAACTTCACGATATGGTGCCGTCCTCAAAAAGCGAGTTCCCACGGGATTGGTTGAAAATGTGCTCCTCTTGGAGGAAGCATAAACCTCTAAACACTGTACTCTTCATATCGCTCCGCTTGATTTGGATAGAGGAACAGCGTGGTCTTTTTAAAAGCTGTCCAAAAAATACTAGAATTGTTTGGCTGGCCACAGCCAACCAAGTTGCCGTTGGATAATGATAGTCACAATGGAGATGTCGGGCGAATGAATGAACATGCACTACCGAATATCTGTTATTAATAGTGTCACCCCGCTATTTCTAGATCTTATCAAGTGGTCTGCGTGATGGATACCTTCAATGCAGCTGGCCACGTCGTCTGTTGCATGCAAATTTCTCAGGGCGTCGTGTGTAAACAAAATAATATTTTCTAGGAAGATCAGTTAGAACTTCCCATCATTATCCATCTTTTCTTACACTTACATTTATTGTATCGCTGTATGAAAAGCTGCACTAGAAAAAGCATCGTATCAACCTCCTACCGAAATTGCGTGAATCAAGGAGTGCACCAAACATGGTTACCTGGGTAAAACAAGAAACAGGTTGGTTATTGATTAATGCCTCAAAATGTGCTCCTTCCTCCACTGGACAGTCCCACTATCTGGTAAGTGCACACTCAATTCGGTATTTTGAGGCATGACTTGACTAACCGCGGTTTGCAGACGAACCACACAGTTGTCAGTAACGCTAACCTTTGTGTTTTGGCTTACCATACTATCGCCCAGCCGACGACGCAAAGCTCCTGAATCACCTCTGCATTTTCGATCGTCCCATATTGCATGCCATTCGGATCCATATTGAGGTAATCGAAAAGTGATGGTCGTCTACACCACCAATCTCACTCCTTCACTCAACCTCGTTTTCGGTGCTGCCATCTGTCCTAATTCCCATTCATTCGTTTCTGTGTGCAGCAAAATAAATCAAACACCTCCGTACATCCGATACACCCCTGGTCATAACATTAGGTTCAAGATTAGTGACAGTGCCGGATTCTTACCGAAGGCTTAGAAAATCTGTTGAGACGACACACTTGGCTGCTAATCTGTATTTGAGCTTCAACTCCAGCCCCGCTATCAAATTCCGCTTGAAGGACAAATTGCCACGTTTTACCACCAGCTTTTGTGTGTACTCATTTGTATGCTCGTACCGAGCATCATACGTTAATCGTACGACAAGGCATCTGTCGGACAGAATGCGAGAACACAATCCCGGCTCAAGCGCGATTGCATCACATTTGGCCGAAACCAGACATGTCATAGACAAGGAGCAAGCCTTCACCATTATACACCGGGCTCCTCTGAACCGATCACGACTGGTACGGTCCAGACTACTATCGATCGCAGAGGCGATTGGAATCCGACTCCTGGATCCACAACTTTGCATCCAAAAGAGACTTGAACTGGCCTATGAAACATCTGGCACCACAAGTCTGTCTGACATTGACGTCACTTACCTGATTATGTGACCCATTGACCTATCCCTCATCCAACCCCCTTCCTTTGATTTCTATTTCTCTAAAGTGTATGTAGCCCCGATCTTAACCTTTTCCACGTGATTTCCGCTACCATATAAATTGGCCAAGGGGAACAATCACAGTAAACAAGCCTTGTTCGCTACCTTCTTCGTTCTCGTGCATACCGAAATTACCTGCCAGCGAGCACCAAGGTAGGTTGATGTTCCAATGGTAGAAGAAAACAGTGAAATCGTTCTAAAGGCAAATGCTACGTTTCCGAGTAACAAGCAAGGCCTAAGTTTTAGACGGCCAAACTACTGGGCCGCTGTGGGTGAGATTTGAGAGGCTAAGTTGTGATCGAACAGGTAGATATTGTCTAGAAAAGTTATTATGGACTTTTTGAAAGTAGTGAAAATCACATGGAACTTCTTTTCTTAACCGATCATTTTATTCGCCGTCCCGACGATGTAAAATGTCTTCACAGTTAATCCCAGTCTGATTGGAACTCACCGAACCGACAACCGTTTGGTGCGTGTGGTTGTCAAAACTGTATTCTGTGCCGACAGCCGCGCAACTTGAGTCCAACCCCAGTTGCACACAGGGAGTGGCATGTGAACGTAACCTGCGAAACAAATCAAACTAGCGAGATTTGGGGCATTCTGTGCCAGTCAGAAATCATTCATGGCCAATTTTATTTCTTGTGAGTGCACGCACGACACATCGGGCGAATGCCCTACATGCAGCCAAGTAAAGTTGCCAAGAAATAACTCGAGTTCGGCAATAAAGAGACTGAATTGTGCGACAAACATGCTTGATCAGTTCACAAGCATCCATGATGAGTCTGCTTGTGTTAAAGGACCATTGGTAAAGGATTTAACTGGAGAGATATTTGCTCTAAATCGTGAGGAGTGTAGTATGGAACCTGGATGCTAAAGTATCACCCACGTGACTCTTTAGAAGTTCGGGATGTGCTCGGAGAACAAGTGAACAGACTATGTTCAGGGGTAAAATTTCTAAGTGGTGAGAATTCCTCTTCATTCTAAGCATGTAAGCCGTGAGATATTCAAAAGAAATTGCCATTATACCCGTACTATTTTACTGATTTGGGAACCAACTGGGTCCGGCTTTTCCTATGATCAATTCCTTTCGATGACCCGGGTTAGGGTCCCACCATGGGCCCCTTCAAATTTGCAGCCAGATATTGTTTTAAAAATGGTCTATACCTGTTGTTCCGTCGGTAAGTAGAGTACACAAGATAATCCTTTAACGTTTTAAACAAAAAACTCTAAATGGCGAAAAAACACAAGTGATTGATAATACAAAGTGGTATTTGAAAGCTTCTCCCTCTTCAAAAATCGCCGATTCATATATTTTCTAGACTTTGGTTACAAAGTAGCGTTGGATTAGGCGAATTCACTTGCAAATATGTGGAGTGACTGATTATTTGTCAACAATATTCACCTTCGAATATCTGTTTTCTCATCAACACAACGAAAGGCCCCACCAGTCGGCATACTGAACGATACGTCCTTTTCAACACAAGGGTAAATTTTACTCCCAAGTTATTTGATCTTTTCAAACACAGAATGGGAGCATTCAAACCTTAGTTTCCATTCTCCACACCAGGTTTCCTGACGTTTGTACAAACGAATATTGGAGGGGGGAGAATACAAGTAAGCGAAAAAATGGGACATTCCGAGCTGATATTTGAATAACAGAAGGATGAATTCACTTCCACACCACCATGTGATCTCCTTGATATTATCAATAGCATACAAAGCCGTGAAATAGCACTTTTTCTAATAAATGTGTACATCAGTAGAAGTGTAACTGCCATCCGAACAACACCTGTATGGCCTTTGCTTTGTAGAACTCATGATAGTATGTGAACGTATTGTAATTTCGCATGATCTGGTCGGTCGCACATTCTAGTCAGGACGAAACAACCAACCCTAGCACTTCATAGATCAGAGACTTCATATCCGCCAATTGAGTTGTTTGATTCGCCGAAACGCGTACTGGCAGGTAGTTCAAGATAAACAAAGGTCCTTGAGTTTGGAAACAAAGTGAAACACCACGTAACAGGACAGTGGAATGGCAGAATGTTTACGACTGTGCCACTGGCCTTGCGACATTCGTTTGCTGATGGATGCGAACAAAAACTGATGATGTTAGTCTTTGATACACGAATAACACAGGTTAGGTATTTCGATGCAGCGTAGGTCATTTGTCATGCTTTCGGGCTTCGTTTTTCAATACACCCATTGCACTCCATGTGATATTTTCCAACTGGAACCTGCTAAATCAGACAGGATCGCACGGAATATTCTATCTTCTGAAATATGGAGTATGTAATGTAACCAGGAAAATCAAAACATAGAGTGGACATACAGCGCTCAGTCAACTGAAAAGCGTGAGAAAGTAATTCAGGCGCCACTGTTTCAGAAAGGCTTGGTAGATTTATTGCCGGACATCGTTTTGCTTTCGAAACGCGTACCATATTGGTCGAGGTTTAACGCAGATGGAAAACCAGTGAGCATGATCTCTTTCGACTACCATTTTGGTTAACCTTGAATACCGGTTAGAAGTTCTTATCAGGCAGCATGGGCGCCTAAGTATTACAGTATATTGGTTGGAGTAGAGTGATCGGGTTTGGGTCTTTTTTATCTTCCGATTTTGAGCGCTCCAGTTGATGGTTTCTCTGGACTGTCACCGGTAAATTGTATTACTCTGTGAGGGTTTTTAAGTTTTACGACAACTTCATTATGGGTGTGGGATTACGTGAAATTTTGGTCCTCTTGTTAGTTGATGACATCGCTTCACCGATAACCACACACGGCCACGTGACAGCTCGACTAATTTAGAGTTACTCTCCACACGTTTCTCAGTTCTGCGCCTTCTACTCTATTCACGTTGAGATGCTGAAGACCACCTCAGTCATCAGTCGCTCTGGTGTGAGTTGTAGTCGCGACAATACAACTTCATCACTTTTAAATTATCTCGCGTCCGTGTCTAGTGGCTAGTTCCACCAGTGTTGGATCCTTTAGCAACGCTCGGTATTTATCTGCATTTCTCACTGGCCTGTGTTTTTCTCCTCGTTTTTCATCTGCAGTCTGATTTGTCCTTAAATGCAGAATCAACTGAACTCACCCCAATCTACCATTCATGAAAGCACAAAGCCGCCTCACGTTCTATTTATCACGATTTTGAGGATATCACATGTCCTTGGAAGGTGCACCTACAAATGAGGTCGACAGAAACTATAAAACTTTGGCTAACTGTAGCGCCCCATGGAGGGCAAGTTCAGCTATCACATAACCGGACTAAGCTAGACCATATCTGGTGAACTTATCTCACTGGCTGGCGTTTCGCTGTCGGATAAACCTGTGCCACTGATGGCCGACCAGTCAAATACGGTCAGCGCGGACAGGACGGCAGTCACAAAATGTCTTAACAATTCTTTCTCTATATCCAAAAGCTCGGACCTCCTTTGGCGCTCTGGGCGGAACCTGGTGGTCACTGAACTGATGAACTCCGTTTCATATCATTTGTCTTTTTGCCGCGCTTCGTGCCTCAGCTTCCAGCTTAATGAAGAACCACCACAGCGGTTTTCATACTTTTGACCATCGTGCCCAGATATCGATGCTTATGGTTACCAGGGTTCCGTTTCTGTGTATTCAGCCGAACACCTAGGAACTATTTCGGAACCCCCTCACAATCCACGCGGTACACATGTCCCAGCCATCCTAGACTGCTTGTCGTGATTACGGCTTCCATTCAAACACAAAGTGACCGTCAGATGGTCGCGTCCGGCGGCGCTTCCATCTAATGAGCACCAGGCAGTGCATGCAAAAGCTACCCTAAAATCAGATGTTTCAATCGGAAGTGGTCAGTGGTTAAGTGCTGGCAAAGAGGGGAGAGAAATGTCCTTCGTCTAGGCCTGGGCAACCTGGCAGTATCCCAGCCCTCTTGCAACCCTCGGGTGGCATGGCAGTTGGGCACCGAAAGGGTTCTACAGCTGAAAGAATCGATTCGATTCTCGTGAAAACCAAATTGACTCGCAGATGAGTGTATTTCTCGAAAACAACACTTGTTCTTGCAGACGGTGTTTCCGCATGCGCGGTACATGGTCGGGCCGATTTTGTTGGATGTCTTCCGTGGTTGAAGTGCCTGATGCCTAGAGCCAGATTTCATTTCATCCGTAACCCAATGATATATACTGGTTATCGACCACGGATATCGATTGGATAGGTGAAGAAGATGGATATTCAGTTTTGTAAGATGCATGCATATGAGAGTTTTGTTCTCCTGTCCAATAGTCTGTAACTGTTCAGTTGATGTTTCTCTAAGAAACACCTCCGCAGCGAAGGCCTTCCTTCTTTCGCTAGTAGATGTGCAGCTACCCAGGTACCAGTCCCTGAGAGTTTGCTGAACGCCACGCTATTCTTGGAAACACTCACGGTTGACTGCCGAGTCAGTAGGCAGCGAGCTTCCAATATAGCACAACTTCGTACAGCTGTCCAAAAACTCCTCTCCAACCTAGATATGTGAAATAGTGTTGTACATCTGCCTGATACATAGCGAGTCTTCTTTGAGTTCATGTACAGGTCATATTGCACAGCAACAATTACAAACATGACAATACAGGTCTCAGTCTAGAAGATCGGGACCCTCACACAAAATACTGGACAGGTGCCCATCTTGTTGGCATTAAAACAGCACATCGGCAATGTCGGTCATGAAGGCGGCATTAGCGATAGTCGTTAGATAGATAATAAAGAGGTCGAGACAACGTCGCGTCCGTGTTTTACACCAGTGGGGATATTGAAAACACTTGTAGTCAGCCGATTGGTTTGCACTTTCGCCCTCATTTCATCAGGTGAGTTGTGTATGAGGTTGACACATTTTGAATGAAACTGATATTTGGAAA